TCCATCATTTAAGTTCTCTTTTGTAACAAGCTAGAACTACTACTATCTTCATATTCCATATTTTTTATCAAGCTTTGGTTTCAGTCAACTTCATTAATGAACAAGTTAATGAAAATTCCTATATCTTATGATAGCGTTAAAAAGTAGAGCTATTTTATTAGGGCTTTTTTGCATGAGTGGGTTAAAGTATCCTCCCTCGCTGATCCTAACCATGTTTGAATGATCAGTTTATGATGAGAAATAATCGTAAAATATATTTTGCTACTGCATTTCTCTAAAAGATGTTGGTCTAATAGACTGGTCTGGACCTACCATGCTATTAACAAAGTTTTTTTTGCATCATAGAAGAGTTTATACTATTACTTGCAGTTGCACCCATTTGGCCTACTTCTTGCAACAATGTTGTTGCAAACATGTAGGATAACCCAGCAATTTGGTAACCATTTTTGTTGTCTTGTAAATAATTGAAGCCAAATAGGCTATTTGAACTAAGTTGTAAGCTAGAAGAAGTTGAGGAAATGCTTTTTTAGCTGTCAAATAAAGTGTCAGAGCTACTTAAAACATACCTCTACCTATGTTATTTTTTCATCTTAGATTCAAAACCAAAAACCCACAATCCATTCGAGCATCACCAAATTCTGAAAATTTTAAAGAATATGGTGGTTAGTGTTCTTGCTTCTTATGTTTCCTGGGTTTTAACTAGAAAATAAAAAAAAAATGAGAGAGTTTGAATGTTAGAGAGAGAAAGTTAGAGAAAAAAGAGTAAATTATTGGGAAAAAAAAGGAAAAAAATTAAAAAATATTTAAAAATAATGAAAAAAGTCACGATTTTGAGCAAAGAAGTAATAAAACAAATCATAAGATAGTTAAATGTCACATTTTAAACCTTAAGAGCCATTTTAAATTCGCTTTAAACCATAAGGTGATTTTATGTAATTTACCCTTTATTGTTTGACATTTCCTAAAACATTTCTAGAAATATTGCCACAAAGAAAAAATGTTCTTACTATATTTTTTCTTTATTGGTCACAAAAAAAAATGTTTAAGCTCACACCAATAAATGTTTAATGTAAAATTTATTGGGAATAATGATTTCAATATTATAAGAGATTTATTTTAAATTGACTATATATTACTTGATGGATAAAAAGACTTACAAACAAAGAATCATTAGATGAAAGAGATTGCATAGTAAGATTACAAATAAATAGAGTCTCTATAGAGTAAAGTATGAGAAAAATATGTAAGAGAGTTGTAGGATTTTATTAGGTAGATACTCATACGACTATAAAAAATTAAGAGTGTCTCTATGAGTGTGTTGTTTGAGTGGACTAGAGAAAAATGAGATGGTTCACATAGATATGGTGCATGGATGCACATTGTTATGTATTTGTTTGGGTAAAGAATACTTCATAAGGACTAAAAAAAAATAAAAGAGTCTATAGGTACTGATTGTAAGTGAGATTAATTTATTGATGTGTTTCTAATTCTTTACAACTAGTGAATTTTTTTTCATTCGTAGACATAGGTTGATTGGATTGAACCACGTTAAATTACTATTTCTTATGTAATTAATTGATTTATAATTTAGTTATGCTTCCACTAACTTTATTATTTAATTGATTAGAGGCTTTTGCCATAGCAACTAGTATTAGAGTTGTTGTAATCCTAACAAGTGGTATCAAGCTAAAGTTCAAGATGTGAAAAGGATAAACCCAGAAGAGCTCAATTCAAAGGAAGAGTTTGAGTTTGTGTTTTGACAATCGATTTGCTTGAAGTTTGAAGACACACAAGAAAAGATGATTGTGAGACTTCAATTATAAGTGTAGCGAAGCATGTTGTCAATTAATTGATAAATTTGAGTCAAGGTGAAGATTGTTAGGAATAGTAAGTCAAATCTCATAAGAGATTTGTTTAAGATTAGCTATATATTACTTTATGGACAAGAAGACTTACAATAGAAGAATTTTAAAAAGAAAAATATTCTTGGTAGACAAGTTAGTATACTTATAAATATGTAAAGTCTCTATAGAGTTAGGTATAGAAAAAGATATAAAAAATGTTATAGGATTTTATTGATAGACACCCTATACGAGAGTGTTTTTATGGGTGTGTATGTTTGAATGGACTGAAGGAAAATGAGATGATTCAAATAGGTATGGTGCATGAATGTACATGGATATGTATTTATTTGAGTTGAGAATACTCCATAAGATTAAAAGAGAATAAAAAAGTTTATGGGTATTGATTATAAGTGAGATTGATTTGTTGATGTGTTTGCAATTATTTATAACTATTAGATCTTTTCTCTTATCTGTGAATGTAAGTTGATTGGACTGAAGTACGTTAAATTGTTGTCTCTTATATATTGATTGATTTATGATCTTGTGCATTGATTGATTTATGATTTCATTATACTTCCACTAGCTTAATTATTCAGTTATTGGAGGCTTTTGTCCTAATAACTAGTATCAAAGTTGTCATAATCCTAATAGAATTGAGGATAGACAAAATTTCACATCACAATAATTGATAAATTTATAAAGTTATTTGAATCTTATTTTTATTTAAAATGTCAAATATTAATCAATTATTCAAATGTTTAATAGATTAATTTTGAACGAATTTGGGATTTGTTTCCTTTGAATTAGTCAGTGGATTACAACCCAAATGTATTCATAAGCATTACTACTCGTATTGTGCAAAACACATCAAGATTTGAAGGGATTTTACTAAAATTGTTTATGACACTATTCTCCTCAGCCATCCTTTTTATTAGTAACGGGTTAATTTAAAAAGATAGAAAATTGTATTAGTTACTTTCTAACGTATGTATTATGTTGATTTGACCCACCAAAGATTTAAGTTAATTATATTAAAATACTAACCTCTGTTGAATTTAAAGATGGTTGGAAGGTTAGACTTTCTCATCAAATAATTCAGATTTCGACCAAATCGACAGATGTAATGGGAAGAAATGGACTCAACTTTAATACAAGACTTTAACTGTCTTCTCTCGGGCAAACAGTATTTACTGAGGAAGCTTTCAACACAACTAGGCAGCAACTATGGAGATTTGCAGAAACTTGAGGCTCCAAAGGGATTCTTCAGTAAGACTAGGAAGATGCAACAACTCATTGCTCAAATCAGAATATATATCTCCTGACAGTACAAGAATCGCAACCTCCGAGAGGCTGTCTGATTCAACGAGGCTGATGTGCAATGCAAGGGATGAACAAAAAAGGAAGAAAAGTTTGGGGTTTCTAGGCAAGATTTTCGGCTTCAGAAAGGTTTCAGTCGATTTCCAGATGAGAGGAAGGCCTGGGGTTGCTTCAATTCAGGACATAAAAAGGAAGAAGGAAGAATCTTCCTGGCCTTCCTGATCCGGAGAGGAGATGGCCTTTGCAAGGTTGGGGATTATGAAGCTGATGTTATAGAAAACAAAAAAGAACAGATCGTTTTTTGAAGATAAATCCAATCATGAAGCAAGCCAAAAACTTCAAATTTCAATCTGTCTTCTACTACCACTCTTATCTATCTGCCGTTTCCTGATAACACGTACAAAACTTTTTCCAAGTTTACGTTCATTTGGGATTAAAATTTATCCTTCCAACTTGAACCAGCTATATATTACTATTTTTTTTTTTTTTTGGCACTTGAACAAGTAACACAGAGAGGATTAATAGCCTTTGTATTTGTTAATAGATTTAACATTCGATCTTTGATATACTTTTTCTTGATAGGATCTTTGAACTATTATATCATTACTTTCTTTAGGTTCGTTTTAATTGTTATTTGTAGAAAAAGTAAATTTCAGATCCAATATTGAAGAATATCCGCTTGATGACCAATTGTAAATTAATTGCTGAGAAATATATAATCAGTCATTAAAATTTACAATGCACATTGCTATGATAAACAAAGATATACAATCCAATTCACGGGGGAAGGGAAGAGATTATGTATTTGGCTGTTGGTCTATGATATGTTCTTGCAATCATGAAGCTGCTTAGACTACATAAGTTTTGTCTCGCTGCTCCCATTAAGTCTTCAAAACCCTAATCAAAGCGGAGGAATGCAGACCCGCACAAAAATTTGCTTCCTTAAGTATGATTTAAAGAGCAGATAGAATCCCTATGCATCAATTGCCTACACTTCAGGATAACTTGATAAAGTGAATCCTTGCCTTCAAGACGTGCAATATAATTCTGAACAGCAAAGGGCGAATGCAATTCCACAAAAGAGTCTCCCTGCAACCATAGTTCCAATCCAGACTGAACCCAGTAAAAATCTGCTTCAGTTATAAAACCTCGTCCAGCCTTTTCTTGCAAATACGAATAAGCAGTTAATAAGTTAAATCTCGCATCAATATCATACTATATAGAATTAAATTTACTAATAAGATCCTCTTAAATAAAAACCAAAACCTCCATAGAAAAACAGAGAAACGACAACAGAAAGATCTGGATGGATTTGAACCACCAACCTCTCGAGCCCTCAGTGGGCTTGAGCGCTCAGCCGTTTCGAGCTTACAGATCTTTTGGATCACAAATACAAATATTGATCAATATACACATTAAACCATTCTTATCTTTAGGACCCAAATTGAGGTTCCACTGTTGCCAGAAGTCGCAATATACATATATATATATTTTTACATCTCATTTTGGCTATTTTATATTGATTTTTAGTAATTTTTTTAAAAAATTTACTTTGACAAAATTTATATTAAGATTAAAAATTTTTATAAAATTTAATTTTCATAAATTATATAAAAAAAAGCCTAAAATACAAAAATTAATAATTTTACATGTCAAAAAAAAATAATTGAGAAAAATCTTTAAAAAATTTTAAAAAGTAGATAACAAAAATATTTTACACATGCACACCATATAAAAAAAAAATTTATGTTATCCAACCTCAAAACAAGATCACAAAACCTTCAAATAAACTTTAAATTGATTAATTGATGCTTAAGTCCACCTCTTTGATAAAAAAAACAAAAACCCTCATCACCACATTTCTTACGTCCAAAATGGAGACTTTTTTGATCAGAAAAAAAATCCATTTTAGTCATCATCTTCAAGTCTTAAAAACCCACGAAACTGACTTTTCATTTAAAACTAATTTGAAAATAAATGCCTACTAACATAAAAAAAAAAAATAGTAACGTGTAAGATAATTTCGTAAAACAACAAAAAAAAAAAGCAAACCTTATAATTTCACTTTCATCTTTTGCTTTTTTTATATGAGGTTTTCAATTTAGATAAAAAGTAATATGAATGATAGTTATATCCTACATATTCCAAAAAATACTGGCGGCTGACACGAGAATTTACAAACATGATCAGCGCTTTAAAATATTTTATTAGAAAAAAAAAAAAAAACAAGCAAGGAAACTTTTAATGACTTTTTTTATAGAAACATGAGATTCCACCATCAAAAACTAAATTCAAAACATAAAACCTTTCAGCCTTCAATCCACCTTCAACCTGCAAAACAAACTTAACCATACAACAGATAGAATATTATCAAGATAGTATTGTCTTTTTATTGTTACCTTACGAAGAAAGGAAAAACCAAAAACTAAATTTAACGGATCGTAATCTACACGGTCAAACTTATCATAAAACTAATAGTAATAGAGAGTAATTTACTGGTAAGGTAAATGCTGAGGTTTGTCATACCTGTCATATCCACACTGCCAAAGAAATATTTCAGCTTTGGCTTAATTGGTAAAGTTTGACAATAACCAACATAATTGCGCAAATATAAACGAGACACCACAATTTACGTGGAAAACCCCTCAATAACTTAAGGGGAAAAAACCACGGGACCGTAGTCCACTGAAAAATTTTCACTATGTGAAGGAACAGGTTACACAGTCGACATGTACCTCGTATGATCAAAATCTTCGACAACAAATAACAGCAGCTCTTCAACATTTTATCTCAGTACAGCGCTGCACCATATAAACCAGGAGATGTTCAAATAATATGCCTCCAAGCTTCAACAATTTGCAACAGATTGAAAAATCTTCAAAGAATTGACCTGCTGCTGCAATGAATTTATATTTTCGAGGCCTCCAGAGCTCCCACTGCTTGTCCCCCGAGGGCTTCAGATACCTTCCCGACATAGATCTTCCCGACATAGATCTTGAAAGTTGACCAAGCTAGATGAACACTTAAAACTCCACATACCTTGATTTCCAATGTTAATCAAACAGAAGAGAAATGCAACGTGCTTGCAATAGTAAATCCACAAATACCTCCAAAATATGCTCACTGCTGTGACATCTTCATCAAAATCTTCTATAGCTAGTGAACGAAACTCCAACCTTCAACCCAATGTAAACAGAAGCCCATGCAAGGGCCTAAAGAACTACAAAGAGCAATACAAGCAAAATACGCATACTGCCTCAACCTACATATATCATTCTCCTCCTAGTATACAGTTTCGTAATAAACTAGCAAAACACTACTGATATACTCAATGCATTTCGCCTCAAAAAGCAATATGAAATTATAAAAATGAAAAAATAGCATAAGCAAGCAAGTCAAGCGCATCCAACTTTTTTCCAAAGCACTATAATATAAGATGGAAGTAAGCCTCGAAATAGAATAATCATGATCGAATCACAGGAAAATTGACCATTACGTAAGGGATAAACGTACAATGGTGGAAAACTTAGATGCATTGGCAGATATATCCTTCAGATAAAATATGAATATGGTAATGCATAGAGTAGCATTGTCAGCACTTTGTATAGGGGTCTAATGGTAGGCATAACAGTTGTTTGAAATGGTGATTGCTCTATGCTAAGAATTGCAATTTTTATTTTCAGATCAACTTCTCATTTATAAGTACAACACAAAACCACAATTACTGAGTTCCAAATTATTAAATTCAATTCTCATGGATGCCACCACCCAAGGTTAAAAAATTTATTAATGTAAATAAAAATCATTCTACAATTATTTTATTAACCACGATAATAAAATTAAATTACTCTAATTTATTATAAGGTTAAATTGGTTTTTTAAATTAAGCTTCTCTTAAGAATGAAAAATTAGCAAAAGAAATAAAAATAAAATATCTAGAATTATTTTATATTAAACTCATGATATGATTAAAATTAAATACTTAATATAAAATTAAATTGTTGGTTTTAAAAATTACGGTTTTCTAAGAATCAGAAATTAGTAAAAGAGATATTAAATTGATGATTTTAAAAATTACAGTTTTCTAAGAATTAGAAATTAGGAAAAGAGTAACTTAGTATTGCCTAACTTTAGAAAACAAGATTAAATCAAAATAATTATAAAGCTTTATCAAAAACGGAAATGAGTAATTAAAAATCATGTTAAAGGAACTTGAATAAATGACCACGTGACCTTTTCTCTAAGATGAGGGCTAAATCTATGACCAATTATAAATATACTTTAATACCAAAGACTAATTGTGATTGTTGCATGTTGTCAAAATTATTGATAAATCTAGTTGCATAATAACTTGCCAATATTTAAATTTTAAAGTAAAATTAGATAAGGCGAATTTTGGTTAAAAATATGTAAAAATAATACCTTGGCCTTGGGATTTGCAAGTAGTAGAGTCAATGACTTGGAGATCATAAGCTTATTCCGATGTTGGTGGTGATGCGGATCATGCATCCATCCCGTATTGTGCAGAGTATCAAAGGGACTAATTGTGGATGCAAATAATGGAAAGCGAGAGGGAAAAGAAAGAGACTAAAAAGAGCAGGAAACACGACACCACACCACAGCAGAGGGGAGAACCCGGGCAACCCCCGTGCGAACTCCCCTCAAAAACACCAAAAAAGTTGAATTTTTATTAAGCTTGGGTGACCTGCCATGCAAGCGCACCTGTCATGGCAAAGGTCTGGGATGACAAAGATAGATCAGGACTCAGCCCCCTTCCAAATAAATATCAGTAGGACTTTTTGCCCTGACATCTTACACATCCTTTCAAAAACAAACCACCCCACATCGCTATTTCAAAACATCAGATGCCTTATAAATTACCACGGTACATCTGAAGAACAATACCCTCGTCCAGATCTCAGCCCCTGGTGAGACCATCCCTGCAAAATTACAGAAATAAACAATAAACAAAGAAGCCTATGACTCAATAAATTTCGGACAAAAGAACACATAGACAGAACATATAAAGAAAGCCAGAAGTAACAGACACCTTCAAGTTGATAAAACATCCTGTCAAATCTTCGACTGCTTGCCTATTAAGGCCTTTAAAAACATAGATCCGACAACGTCAATCCTCTCATCGTACAAAAATCTGATATGAAAAACAAGATCGTGGACCGATGCGACCGGTTCTGAAGACAAAATCCTCGGAAAGGAGGTCCTGGAGGCTAAATCTTATCGGAAAGAAGCAGACGGCAAGAAGGAAAACATAAGAGGAATTTGTTGCAATGAGATGTTTCTCCCCGCAAAGCCTAGTTATATAGAGGGCTTTCTGAAGAATGGACGGTCAAGATAAAAGTGTTCGGAAAGATCAATCTGTAAGATGACGTCCACGTGTAATCAAGTCGGCATCTTTTCTTGTAGAAAATTAGGTTGTGAAAGGAAAAGAGGAAAAGGATTTGGTAAAACCGACCAATAGTTGGGCACCACGTGAAGCTTATGAGTTGGGTACAGGTCAATGTTGTGACATTGCGTTGTTTTTACGCAAGTTGGCTTGGGTTGTTCTTATCAACTATCAATAATAAAAGGACTCTAGAGCCCTCGGGAATCTTTCCATCTGAAACATGACCGAAACTCTGGTACCGCCTTTCAAGTTGTTTGGTTCACGAGATTGACTGTTTCAATCTTGGATTTATTGGGACCAAATAGTTATACTTATTCGCATATTGTATTGTTTAAATTTACTAACTATTTAATTTTTAAAAAATTGTTTTTTGGACCAGAAGTTTATTAAAGTTAATTTTCTTTAGTAAAATGATTAAAAACAAATAACAACAACTTAAATATAGTAAATAGTGGTAATTATATATACTTTTTCAAATTTTTTTTCGTTTTTAATGATAAAAGGCTCTTGAAATAATATATGTTTTTTAAAATTAATTTAAATAAATTTATTTAATATAGACCCAATAAATTTATAGGTCTAATTTAGCGAAAGAAAAAAAATCATCTTTGTATGATGTAAATTGACAACAAATAATTTTTGTGTATGTAGATATTTTTTGTTGTCCGAAATTTTTTTGACATTAATGAGTCTTGAGTTTTAATTTGATATTAGATTTTTAATTATATCATTGATGTTAAATTCAACTAAAAAGCCCAAAAAAAAATTTATTTTGTATATGTAATTATATTTTATTTTAATTTTTGGTCAAAAAAAACTACTAGGAAAGATTTGATTCCGTGAATATTCTTAAAAGATTCCTTGAGCTTGAATAAAAAATTCTTTAGGTATCAACTCTCGGGCAAAATGAAAGTGATCTAGAAAAATTTAAAATTGAATTTGTCGAGATCCAATTACATAAATATTTTTCTTTCAATTTTGGAAATTGAATTACTATAAAGCAAAGGCGCAACAAAAGGAAAAGGGAATCAATAGAGGTAGTGAGAAATTTTGCACAATAATTAGTCTCAATCAAACACTGATCAATAAAAAAAAAAAGCAAATACAAAGAAACAATTGGGGAGGCAATTGGCAATAAACGACATAATCAACAGCCGTTCAAGTAACACAAAGTTTTGAATTTTAAGAGAAAAGTTCTCGAGTAAAAGGAGAAAGAAAATCAATAAGCAAATAGAATGAGAGATCATAAGAACAATCGATAATTCGAAAAAAGTAACAAGTAATAACAATGAACAACAATCAAGAAGAATCATAAAAACAAAAAATCATACATGTAATATTAAAGTAAATAGAGTCAAGTAAAATTTTTCTTGACAAAAGACTTTATTTTGAGGTTGATCTAAAAGCATTGATCAAGTACACTTTCTTTTATTTTTATTTATTATGATGTTATATTTTATTTATTGTTTAATATGACTTGGGATAAATTTTGTGATAATAATTTTTTTATGAAATCTATTTTTTACATATTTATTTTTATAATTATTTATTCATTATTTATTTTTTATGTCAATTTTATTTTTTATCTATTGATTTAATTAATGAAAATAAAAATTGAATGCATTTTTTAGAAAAGAGTAAATATATTATTTTATGATTAAAAACTTGTAAGAATATTTGTATCATTATTTATAATTAATATTTTATAAATAAATAAAAAGGATGCAACTAAATTAGTTTCTTTGTCATAAGATATTTAATAAATTTAACAATAAAATATCTTTAAGTAATTAATGAGTTTATCTTGAATACTTATGAGATGAAAAAAAAAATTTGGTGAAAGCTTACACATTTTTTTTCAATATTTAAATATTAAGATTAATAAATAAGAAATAAAAGATTATCTGAATTAAAACTCAGACAAGATAATATAAGACTAATTTGGTACTAATTTTAAGCATTATAAGTGTTATAACGTATAGATCCGTGAATTTATTGCTAGATCTGGATTAGAAGGAGTCGTCATCAATCTTTTTTTGTTTAGGTGTGATTGGTCACCTTAAACAATTTTGATATGTGAAAACAGATATTAGGTTCAGGAGTCAATTACGCAGAGGAAAGATTGTAGCACCCCCATAACAGCCATCTAATGGATGGTACCAGTTTGATTTCAAATTATCTAAGTCTTGATCATTTTATGATTTACCAAATTTTTTAATATTGAAAATTAATCATAAAATTGTCTCAATAGTTTGGTAGCAACTTAGGATAATTTTCTCACCTCATGAGTATTTATGGAGACTAGTGCCCCACTCTAAAAATGTTTCGTCATCGAATTTATTAATCTTTATCCAAAAAAATAGTAAAGCTTCCCAATAGTTTGGTAGGATTTACTTCAAAGCAATCTTCCAATCGTTTAGAAATGAATTTTTATATTTTTGTTTTTTTATTGAAGGCTAATTCATAGAATTTGGTGGATTCCATGAATTTATTTGAAAAGATTTTTTTATTTTTGAAAAATTATCTGAAAAGAATTTTTATGATTATTATTGTTATTTTTTTATTTTTTTTTTGCAAAAATAATTTTAACAAAATGATAAAATTTCTCAAAAAAGAAAGAAGATCGAAAAATAATAATGAGAACAAAAACTAAAAATAAAATGAGTTAAAAAAATGAAAAAAAATTAAAAAAAAACTTGCGAAAAGGGTCGGGTCTACATGCGGATCTTCACGCGGATTATCGGGTTGACACGCTAATCTGGGATGTCCAAAACGACATTGTTCTGGACCACTATATAACATAAAATTAGCGTTTCAATCTTCAGAAGCTCAATTCCCCTTTTTCTCTAGCTTTAGGATCCTCTCGCCTTTCTCTAAGATTCAGCCAAAAACTCCACCAGAAATTGGATTTGACCGTCGGTTTCTGAAAATGTTGTCAGAAATTGGCCAAAAAATTCAAAGTTCTGCCAAAAAATTTATTAAAAAATTCTTATGTTCTTAAAAAAACCCAAAATTTTCATAAATCCCTAAAAAATCTTAATTGTTTCAAAAATCCCCAAAAATTAACCAAAGTCTCCCTAAAATTTCAAAAATCAAAATCAAACCCTTACTACTAGAAATTTCTCGAAACTATTAGCACCCATTTTCTCTCAAGATTTTTGTATCTCATTCTTTTGATCTTCAATTTAATTTATAGGCAGTCTTAAGATAATTTTTAAGAAATGAATCATGGGATTGATTCTGTCCAAACAAGATTTTAGGTCCAAAATTTTAGCGATCACACACTGATATGATCTGTCATTAAAAACTTGACCATGTGGTGGGATTCTGATCATGATCCCAGATTTTCTTTGTCCACGTGTAGATTGAACAAAAGAAAAAAAAGAATAAAATAAAATAAAATAATAAGAATAATAATAATGATAATAATAATAATAATAATAATAATAATAATAATAATAACAATAGTATATAACATATACTATGATATATAATGATGATAATAATAATAATAATAATAATAACTATAATATAATAATGTATAATAATGACATACTATAATATATAAAAATAATAACATTATAGTATACTAATAAAAGTAATAATATCTTAGCTAATCGATCTCAATTCATCTCGAACACAGGTAAATATCTACAGTTGCCCATCTTTGTACATCATTGTTAAACAGAGATGATGCAAAGATTAAACACCCACTCTGTTTGAGTCAAATCAGCGAGTGAAACTGATTGGGAGTGAATCTCAAGCTAAAAAAGTAAAATGATCTGACCTGAGTTGAGATTGAGCGATTTGGACGATACCACGAGTCTGAAATTAATCTGAACTAAATCAAGATCGGATGAGTGAGACAATACTGCGAGTCAAAAAGTGATCAAAATCGAGTCGAAATCATAGATAAATGATCGAACTGATGCCACGAGTCTGAAGATAATATGACCTAAGTCAAGAGCAAATGATTGAGACGATGTCACGAGTTTGAAGGCGACCAAGATCGAGTCAAGATCATAGATAACTTATTAGACTGATGCTGTGAGTCTGAAGATGATTTGACCTGAGTTAAGATCAGATGAGTGGGATGATGCCGCGAGTCTGAAAGTGACTAAGATTGAGTCGAAGTAGTAGATAAATGACTGAACTAATGTCGCGAGACTGAAGATGATCTGACTTGAGTCAAGATCAGATGATTGGGACGATGTCGCGAGTCTAAAGGTGACCAAGATCGAGTTGAGGTTATAGACTGGATTGATGCCGCGAGTCTGAAGATGATTTGACCTAAGTTGAGATCAAATGACTGAGATGATATCGTGAGTCTAAAGGTGACCAAGATCGAGTCGAAGTCGTAAATAAATGATCGAACTAATGCCATGAGTCTAAAAATGATCTGATCCGAATCGAGAACAGATAACTAGGATGATGTCGCAAGTCTAAAGACGATCAAGACCGAGTTAAGGTCGTAAATAAATAACTGAACTGATGTCGTGAGTTTAAAGATGACCAAGATCGAGTCGAGATCATAGAGAAATGACTAGACTAATATCGCGAGTCTGAAGATAATCTGACCTAAGTCGAGATCAAAACCTGTGATGAGCATGCAATGATATGAATGTATACCCTATCTAGGATGTAAATGAGACATTCATTGTGGTACTAAGATTTCTATAGCTTTCATCTTTTTACAGTTCTCTAGCAAGGAAACTATCCTTCATCATCTCAAATAAGCATTTATTTTCATCATAAAGAAAGTTATTGATTCTCTTTTATTCAAAAGAGTTCATCTTTAGCCCTTGTCTCTTTCAATTCTCTCAAAATAACACACTATTTCTTATGACTTCATTCCATTATTAATCATTATCTCAATTTCAAAATATAATATACAAGTTATGTACTTCT